GCCAGAGCCGGCCCTGTCCCCAGGTGATCCGTTTGAAAAATGTGCTGCACATGGGGAGTCAGAAATCTCTCGGGGGGGGGGGAAAGAGGGGGAGAAGAGCCAGAGGATAAATATTTATATAAATGGATAAAAGAGCTTTAAAAATATTTTTAATGGCTCTTGTGCTTTCTGTGAACAAACAGTTGCTGCTCCAGGTAAATGTCCACACAGAGAAGTTAGATAAACAAAAATAGCCTTGCTGGAAGGTTACAGTGCAAGACTCTTATTTCTTAGAATTCTGAAGGACACACAAGAACCCCAAAACAAAGCAAGACAAAGTCGGCTACTCCCTAAAATATAACTTACCCCATCTTACTTTAGGCTACCTACTGCTAGGCCCAGCTGGTATCCTTCCCTACAGAACCCCATAGCCTGCAAGCAGGAGCCCTGCCCCTCTCCCCGACTTTTAAGGTGACAAAGATAAGGGCAACATTGCAGCCACTCTCGATCTGTAGTTTTTCTCTGTCCTATCTATGGGGTACAATCACCTTGTACATAGGGTTTTAAATCAGACACTGGCTTTTTTACAGATCAGTTTGCTCAAGTGCCATGGAGTTTGTTAGATGTTTCAGTTCTTCTCTTTATTATTACTATTAGATATGATTATTTCTACCACATTTTCCCAAAAGTGTCTTGTCAGGAATATTCATCCCAAGAAAAACCTTTAGTGGCCAAAGTGGGGCATTTAGAAAAACAAGCTTTGGTGATGTGAATCCAGCATGTCGTGCTGCAGTTCTCTGCCTCTCATCACCAGAACCCTCTTGGTACCAATCTCCTCTCCCTGGGGTTGTTGGAAGTCATTCCTTTGGCTTCAGTAGGAGTTGGATCCAGCCATTGGTTTCTCTTTTATATTTTGACCCTTTTGCTTGTGAATTTTGAAGATGACACCTGAAAAAAAGGGCAAATCTGGAAATATCCTGGATCTCTTCAGGAAGCCGCACCTGAGGAAATCTACTTTAATTATGTGTTATGCCTGGTAAGTCCTCCAAATATTTCTCCATTTTAGAACTCCTTTTAAAGCATGGATATCTGGTGTACCGAAATTTTGTAAAGCCACCTAATGTGCCTTCGGTTTCATATTAATGTGTGTCATCTTCTTACTCCCTTAAGAGATGAATGAGCAAATGTACTGTTCTGTGAAACAACACACGGTTTTTTCATGAGTAATAAAGATGAAAGATGGCCTTGTGATCATAATGCTGAATTGGGACTCGGAAGATTTAGATTCACTTCCCAGTTTTGCCACAGACTCTGTGTGACCTTGGGCAAGTCACTTAATCTCTTTGTCTCAGTTCCCCATCTCTAAAGTGGAGAGGATAACCCTACCTCTCATAGGTGAAAACGAATGTTTGTAAGTGGCTGTTGGAGTGCCGTGTACTAATGTCTGGGTAGGTCATTGATTCACCAGTGACTGAGTGCCACCTGCTCTATCAAGAGAACCATTTCCTGTAGCCCCTGGACTATCCTCAGAGGCCTCCCATCTGATTACTGCTCTCCTTGTGAGATCTCCGCAATCACTGCCCAAACCTATACGGCTATAGCAAGGATCAATTTAAAAGTACCAGTGCAGATATGGCTAGAGTGATACCTTAGTTTCTGTGCTTAATAAAGGGTTTATCTAAAACTGTTCCACTTGTCCCTATGTATAGAAATTAGGTAACAATTTCCTACTATTCTTTAGCTGCAGCCTCTGACTTCACCCTGTCCTGTGTTCCTTTGTTTCTCTTACCCAGCATACAATGCCTCATAGGAAAATGATCAAATGATTGCAGAAAGAACACACTCCGGGGAGGCCTTAGTGCATAGCACACCTTTCCTTTTTTAGAGCCCTTTCTAAATTTCTTAATGGAACTAAAACACTTTTAAATTAAACTTAAAAAAAAAAACCTATAACCAGCACAGTAGCTGACTAAACAAACCTCGATCAGTCTCTGAAACGTTTCAACAATCTTCCAGTCCTTGTATGTCCCCCTGTTCAGACTCATTGTCAATAACAGGATCAGTTTGTGAATTATTTTCAAGTGATCCCGTCTTCCCATGCTGAACATGTGAATTCTGACTTTGTCCCATGGACTGAGAGTTGTTTATGCAATATCATTGATCCTTTCTGCTGGGAATTTCTGTACGTCTGACACGTTCCACATTTGCTCACTATTTCTTTGGTGTCGCTATTCATCTATGGCCAGAATACAATCTCTCTAGCTCTCCTTTTTGATTTGGTCTTCCCAAGGTGCCCTTAATGCATTCATTCCAATATTTCCTTTCTCATCCCGGAGGGAACCACAATTGGTGTACCCTTATTATGCATAAGAACAGGTCTTCCTCTTCACATGAGGAGTCCCATTCTGCATTTAATTTAATTTCCTGTTTCTTTGCACACTTCAGCGCAATGGTTGGTTTATTACAGTTTCCACGTATTTGCCCAAATGCTGGGTATTTCCTATTGTTGTACTTAAAGTACTGCACAGGATCTTTTCAGGGGGAATAAGACAAAACGCCACATTTATTAGTGATACATGTATTCATTAACACTGTATTATATGCATATAATATATTGTTAATGAATACATGTATCACTAATAAATGTG